CCCACTCCTCTGAGATCTGTAAACTGTGTTTTAACTACTGGTAAGGTGTCCATTCCTGTAAACAACCCTAATGAAACCAACTGCGCACAAATGCAAAATCCAAGTAGAAGCTGAGCTGGTTAGGAAGAAGAGATTAACAGGAATGGGAGAAGTAAGAGAAAGTGGGGTGTAAGTATGATTGAAATGCTTTCTGTACATGTATGAAAGTGCCATAATGAAATGCATGTATTATTAATATATGATAAAAAGAATATTTTTATAAAACAATGGATGTATCTGAGGAACCAAAGTTGAAGCTGACCTCTGACCTCCACATCTACTCATTCATAAATACCCATAAACACATACATAACACCAAAGGTATGTCTGATCTGCTGAAATCATTTTTCCATTATGGAAATAAATTTGCACATATTCTGGGTTACCCCTGAGTTGAGACTAAAGAGCTCTAACTTGGAATTACTCCAAGTTGCTGTGCACTAGCTAAATCTTATCAATTAGAAAAGCAGCACTTTGCTAAGATCTCCATCTTGTCTTCTCTATCATAAAATTCCACCTATTTATAAAACCTAGACATTGCAAGAACAAATGTGGAAGGACAGGCACCAAAGCTACAGAGAAACCCTGCCTCAAAATACCAAAAAAAAAATAAAAATAAAAAAATAAAAATGTGGAACCAACAGATAAGTTGGTTTTTGTTATTGCTATTGTTTTGTTTTCTTAACCTCATAATGGAAAGGGGTACACGCGTGTGCGCGTGCGTGCACACACACACACTCACACACACACACTACTGCTATTACTGCTACTGTTCTTGCTTAGGGATCCTGAGTCTGAAACAGATGGTGGTAAACTCAGATGTTAAATCCCTATGGAAACTGGTCACATGTTGTAAAGGTGTGCACGTGCACGCATATTCACGTGCGAGTATGGGAACATACGTGACTTTGTGTGCATGTGGAGGTTAGAAGACAAACCTGAGTGTCATTCTTTACCTTCTACCTTTTTTGGGATAAGGTCTTTTTGTTGACCTTTGAACTTCTGGGAAGTCTCTTTTTCTGCTTACCTCCTGTAAGGCACTGAGATTATAGACATGCGATCCTGCCTGCCTTTTTGTAGGATTTGAAGACTTGATTCCAAGTCTTTTGCCTTATGTGGCAAGCGCTTTATACACTGAGACTTCTCCCCAGCCCTGGGTACCCTTTTTGTTGTTGTTCTGACTGCTAAAGTTTACAAAGCGTTTACTCTGAAGCTGCAGGGCGATTGGTAAAGAAAAGTCCCCAGACTATCTTGATACAAAATATATAGCTTTAATAAACAGAGGTAAGACTTACAACAGCTTACACCAGAATCCAACCGATCCGTCCGGACACAGGAGCCAGGCAAAAAGAGGGCTAGCGGAGCGCGTTTGTAAGGTTTATAGGCAGGCTTTTGCCTGAGGGCGGCACGCCCCGAAAACAGAATATGATTGGCTGAACTCCCCTATCATTTACTCTGAGGTGGGCATTTCTGTAAGAGCTATATATGTGTCAGTCCACTTAGTTTTCACAACAAGCATTTTGTGTTTCTGGTCCTTGTTAGGGTCCAGCCTCGATGGGGTTCGCATGTTCCAGGGTACGTGCATGTGGATTAGAAATATTAGATAGGAGGAACAGAGAAACGAAAGAAGTGCAGAGGCATAGTATAGCACTGGGAGCACGGCCCAGTGAGTACTGAATTCACCGTGTTTATTTTCCATATGATTTTATTACCCCCCCCCCCCCGCCCCCATCCAAAACGGCGGGGTGGGGGGGATTGTTTTAACGACACAAAGAACAAACAGAGCAATTATCTGCTTCAGATAATTTGAATGCCTGAAACATCAGGCAACTATATGAGTTAAGCATTCTGTTGTTTAGGCAGGCCGTGCAAGGACCACACCTTAGACCAAGCATCCTGTAGGCAGCCACCCCCTGGGTCAAACCTCCCGTCACATCCTTGAAGGAATAGGAATAGGCCTCTCTGACCTTTGGTCAGGGTGGAACAGACCCACTCCTGTGGCCTCCGACAGGTATTGTTAGTTCTCGCAGGCAGCAAGGACTAGATGTGGGCCTAACAGTGGACTTGAGAGGTTATGATTTTACTCACTCTTCCACAAGTATCAGACCTAGAACCATCCCTTCCTCCCAGGTTCAAACACTAGCCCTCAATAGAACATTCTCTCAAGGTTCAGGTACCAGCTCTGATAAGCAGTTATGAATGATGAAGTTCCCCATGGTGGTTCACACATATAACCCCACACCCTGGAGGCCACCTGAGGCAAGAAGATGGCCTGAATCTTAGTTTGTATAATGAGTCCCACCCCAGTCTGGACTACAGTACGAGACCCTGTTTCAAAAACAAAACAAAACAAAAACTGGGCTGGAGAGATGACTCTACAGTTAAGAGAACCTGTTGTCCTTGCAGAGGACTTGGGGTTCGGATCCCAGCACTTACATCAGTGGCTCACAACCACCTAAAACTTCCATTCCAGTTTTGACACTCTCTTTTAGCCTCCATGACCACTAGACTCATGTACAGGTAGGTGTATGTATGCACACACACACAGACACACTTACACTCTCTCTCTTTTAAATAAATGTTTAAAAACAAATCAAAATTCTACAAACTAACAACCTCCCTAACAACAACAACAAAACTCTGAATGATCACAATCACTTGTTTTCTCTGATTCTGGGTTTCCTATTCTGTGTGACAAGACTTTTGTAGGGTACAACATACATGTCTATTCACCCTAGATAGGAAGCCCAGGATAGACCAAAGTCTCTGGTCAGGATAGACCAGAATCTCACTTGGTAAATCTGTGAGTTTTGGGTGAGGAGTTACTTAGAGCAGTAGAAATGACTCGCAGGCAGCTGCGTCACTAAGGCCCAGCCCAGCACTAGTGACTGCTCAGGAAAGCTGGAAAGCTGGAGCCTACTGCTTAGCCTGCGGGCAGTTCAACAGCTTGGAAAGTGACCTTTCCAAGGGACTCTGGTCTAAATCTCTTTCAGGCAGTTCAGTTGGTTTTGTTTCTTCAGGCAGCTGGTCTGTTCTCTGGGTCTTCTTTGTAACTTAATCCATCTAAGAGACCTTTTGTAACTTGGCTTGTTTTCAAGTGACTCTCAGAAGTTTGGCTTGTTTACTCTATCAGCTAGGGGCCTAGTGAATCTGGTCAGTTTTAGGGACTTCCTGAAGTTCCTTTGAATTGTTTACCTTCCTGCTTAAGGAGCTTCCCTCCAGGATGGAATGTTTGAATCTCAGAGGAAATTATTACACAACACCTATCTGCATACTGTATTACATGTAACCTTTGTGTAATACCTGATAGTTTGTAAACACTCCTCATATTTATCTCTGTAACCCAACAGTCTTTAAGAACATGTTTAGGGGACAGAAAGTTGGTTCAATAGGTAAAATGCTTGCTACACAATCATAAAGACCAGAGTCAGCAGTCTCCACATTAAAAAGCCAGCTATGACTGTATATATTTGTAACCTTGTGCTGGGAAGATGGAGACGGGAGGATCCAGGTGTGACTGTGTGCACTTGTAACCCGTGCTGGGGAGGATCCAGAGGCTTGTCTTGACACTAGTTTAATCGGTCAGTGCCTTCTGGATTTAGTAAGAGACTCTATCAAAAAATAAGGTGAAGGGGCCAGCTAGATGGCTCAGCAGGCAAAGGTACCTACCTCTAAGCCTGATAATCTAAGTTAAATCCTTGAAACCCATGGTAGGAGAATCAACTCCTACAAATTGTCCTCTCACCTCCGTAAGCACACACATTAATTAGCAAAGTTAAAAAATAAGATGCAGAGCAGTAGAGGACGAAGCCATCTCTGGTCTTTATATGCACATGTATGGGCATATGCACTTGTACACATGAGAGTGTGTGTGTGTGTGTGTGTGTGTGTGTGTGCGCGCGCGCACGTGCACTTACAAACACAGGAAAAGCAAAAACATATTTGTTTATCCAGGGAATGCTTGTGCTGTTTGTGTATTCTAAATGGTGTGACTATAACACCCATGTGGCCTGTTGGGGAATGTGCTCACTGTGCTTTCTGTCTTCTCTCCGCCCCCCACCTTCACTCCACCAGTGTGTTTGTGAAAGGGAGTTTGGTCAGATAGTGACTGCTTTCTTTTGACTCATTTTGCAGGTTACTCAATGTAAGTTAGAAGAGCAAAACAGCTCACTCATTGATTGAAACATGATCATTCTCTACCTGGAAAGATTATTTGTCCTATTTGGCTGGTGTATGACTATAGTTTATAAAGATACACATGAAACAAGAAGGCATAGCAACTCAGCCAGTAGGAGTGCTGTGAGTTTGAGGCCAGCCTGGTCTACATAGTTCCATGACAACCAAGTGTAACCCTTGCTATTAGGGAAATAGTAAACATGGCAAGCAGGCTATCCTCACATTGCCACCCCTATATAGATATATGTGTTTGAACAGGCATGTGTACATGGAGGCCAGAGATCAGTGTCAGATCATGCCTCGAGCTGTCTACTTTATCATTTTAGACAGGGCCTCTTATTGGCCTGGAGTTTGCCAAGAAGACTAAGATGACTAGCTAGCAGCAAGCCTCAGGGTTCACCTGTTTCCTGCTTACCAGTGCTGGCATTATAAGCATGTGTCACCACACCAGGCATTTTCCAGGGCCTTTGGGGACCTAACTCAGGTCTTCATGCTCTTGTGATCAACTGAGCTATGGCTTCATCTTTCTATGTCAAGTGAACATAGAAACTAAGTTTTGGAGCCCATTATCAGAAGGGCCTAGGAGAAGCCGAAGGCAGGGAAGGAGAAGTGACTACTTTGATAGAAAGTGAGAAGTTAGAGAAAGAAGAAAATTCATGGAGAAAATAGTTGAACTATTCTCTAAGCCCTTATTTGATGACTGTTTTACAGCAGGAGAATGGCTCAGGCTCTGTTTGTGTTTTGTGTCAAGAGCTTGACAGATCTTTGTTCTTTCCTTCCCACAGTTCTTAGGCTTTCTACCAACGCAGGCCAATGGAAGGAAGCAGCTAGCAAGGTGACACATGCATTGGTTAATATCAGGTAAGGAATGAGAATTCCTTTCACAGTTCCTTGCTCATCCTGACGTTTATTGCACCTTCCCAAGGAGAACTCTCTGAGCACCACTACTATTTTTAGCCCTGATGTCTGTAGGAGTGGAAGAAATTGTCATACCTGATCAAGAAAAGCAGGAGCGCATGAGGCTTTCATTTTGTCATATTGAAATAGCTCAGAGTGCTGGCTGTTCTGTGAATTTTCTACCTGAGCGATGATTGCACACCCTTTGCAGGCGCCTTAGCTGCCAAAGTGTTCTTTGTGCGTACGGTTTCCTCTGCTCTTCACTGTGGTCTCTTCATGGCAATGTAGGACTCTCACATGTGACTGTAAATAGATATTTCTATTTGTGATAAATACAGGCAAACAAAATCCCTGGGGCTAAGTCACTTTTAGTCCTTATGAAATAGCAAAAAAAAAAAAAAAAAAAAGCTGTATTTGTTGGATAAAATTGTGTCTGACATGGGGTTCACTGGAGTCAGGAGGAAGCAGTGCTCACAGGAGGGAGTGGTCAGGAAGTGGGGAGGGAGGGAAAGGGTTTTGGTGTTGAACTCAGTTGACTGTCTCCCATTGTTTCCTCCCTTTGTGCCTATGATTTTCCTTTTTCTCAACAGTTATTAAATTGTTTTCTCAAACAATCAAGAAGTTAACATTGAATAAAACAGGCAAACCCGGCAGATGGGGAACTTGATTTAGCTCCAGATGTAAGGCTTGCCAGACACTCCAATAATAGTAGCGTGTATTTACAACTTTGTATAGATTCTAGTGTATGAGAGAGCAGGGGTGTGATGTTTATTCCTATCTTCCCTTCTCTCTTTGTTTTAAAGTAAAATGTCTCTGACGTGATTTACTACAGTGTGTGTCACCTCTGGGAATAAGAGGAAAACTGTGAAATCTGTGTGTTAGGTGGGCTGGGCCGAGGGAGCTGGGGTGAGGTGTGCCAACAGCACCGCGGTGAAGGCTGGACTGCCTGCTGCCTCCAGAGACACTCCGAGCAAACATCTGTAAATCTCACCAAAGATGCCTGTCTGCTCCTAGCAGGTGATCAAAACACTGTGGGTCCTTACAAGAAATGTGAATTTCTAAAAGAATTTGTCATGACAAACTCTTCTCCCGGATTACCCCTTGTGACCCTAGGGCAGTAAGACAGACTTGGATGTCTGAATGAAACACCAGGTTCTGGGCTAGAGTATGAGGTACATAGGAAGATAACGTATGTTATGTTTATTATCATGTATTTACACAGGCCTTCCAGGCATCTCGTCTGGGGCCTGTTTTGCTTTATCTTCTACTTCGTTGCTTTTGCTTTCAATAGTTTCTGCCTTGGCTGCTGTCCTTACTCTTCCCAAGGGTCACCAGGCAGCTGATTTGAGTTTCTCTGCCTTCTCTAAGTAACTGGAAGAACTGGACTGAGCCTTGAAAAGATGCCAGTCACCATGGCCGTTTCCTTGTCTGCATGACTGCCAGACCTCCCCTCTCATTTCAATTCTCAAGCTGGGCTTCCTGTAGAGAATAAGCACATCATTTTCACTGTGGCTAATTAGTATTTGACTGAAGCAGCAAGGACCCATTTAACTTCCTCAAGATATTATTGGAAAGATGTGTTTGAATCTTCTCACACTAAATCCAGACCAGAGACACATACTGATGATACTAAGAACAGTTCACCTTTGCTCCTTCCGGATGGCTCTTTTCACCCACTAAATGCCAGGCTGGGGGTGTCCTTCCAGTTTGTCCACATGCCATCTTCTCTAATCTTTTAACCTTTACACTCTGTAGTGTATGTTATATGCTTCTTAAAATATCTTTGTTTTGCCCACCCTGAGACAGATTCTCATAGCACAGGCTGACTTTGAACTCAGTACGTAGCCAAGAGTGTTTCCTCTTCCTTCTGCTTCTACTAAAGTGCTGAGTTGACAGGTGTTTGTCATCACACCTGCCTCAAAATACACTTTGCCAGCAAAAAGCTGCTTCTCAAAGACAGGGTGTGTTTTGGAAGACCCTGCTTTGGTTGCCTTGCAGCGTTGTGAGCCCAACCTCCTCCTCTCAGGATGGAGAGTTCCAGGTTCACAGAGAAACGCCTTGTGCTGCTTTGTCTTTCTCCACGGTCTAGAAGGCGTGGAGTGGAATTAAGTGAGACAAGCTGCTGCTACTGTTTGCCATATGACCTTGAGCAGATTAGCGTCTCTGAACCTTTTCTGCCACCTATTAAATGGGGATGCTGATGTAGTCACTCCATGTAGAATGATGTCTTCAAGTTTCATACTTATTTATTTGTTTGTTTGTTTGTTTGTTTTGGTACCTGGAAGGACAGCCGTGGGTGCTGGGAACCAAACTCTTACATTTTTGGTTGTGAGCCTAGCCTAATTTAACGGCTGAGCCATCCCTCCAGGTCAAGTTTCATACTTCTTACAGCATGCCGGAATCTCTTTCCTTCTTAGGCCAAGTAATATGTTCATTATACTTCTACACCATATTTTAATCTATTCACTTGTTGATGGCCACTTGAGTTGTTGTTACTTTTTGGTTTTGTACGTGACGCTGCTATGAATAGGTGTTGTGTTTGAGATCCTGCTTCTGGTGTTTTATACCTTTAATATCAGCACTTGGGAAACCAAGGTGGGTAGGTGATGGTTCACGAGTTCTAGACTGTCTTGAACTATATAGCAAGACTCTCTTAGAAGTAAAGACCATATGGGGAATTGCTATATCTATGGTAATTCTCTCCCCCTCCCTCCCCCCTCCACAAGACAAGGTTTCTCTGGCTGTTCTGGAACTTGCTCTATAGTCCAGGCCAGCCTTGAACTCAGAGATTCTCCTACCTCTGCCTCCCAAGTGCTGGGATTAAAGGCATGTCCCACCACTGCCCGGCTCTTTATTTATTTATTTTTTTAAAAAAAATATTTATTTATTTATTATGTATACAATATTCTGTCTGCGTGTATGTCTGCAGGCCAGAAGAGGGCACCAGACCTCATTAAAGATGGTTGTGAGCCACCATGTGGTTGCCGGGAATTGAACTCAAGACCTTTGGAAGAGTAGGCAATGCTCTTAACCCCTGAGCCATCTCTCCAGCCCCCTCTTTATTTATTTTTATGTTACTTGTAAGTACACCACTTGTGTGCCTGGTGGACCTGGAGGGCAGAAGAGGCTATGCAGTCCCTTACACCCGGTTTTTAGATAGTTATGAGCCTCCATGTGAGTGCTAAGAATTGAACTTGGGTCCTCTGCAAAAACACGTGCTTTTAATTGCTGAGCCAATTTTCTACCCCACCCCACTTTAACTTTGAGACAGGATTTCTCTATGTACTTTTGGCTGGCCTGGAACTCAATAGTAGATCTGCTTGCCTTTTCCTGATGAGTGCTGAGATTAAAGTCGTGCACCACTACATCTGGCCTTGATTTTTAGCCTTATTGTTTTGAGCCTTGCTTAGTAATTCCTAGTTACTTTTATTTTTCTGTCCTGTGAAAGTTAAAGTGTTTTGTTTTTTCATGTAACTGGATCTTTATGGTGCTGGATGAGAGTGATCAAGACAGTTGTCTCATTCAGTATTCTCTTACCTGAAGGATAAAAAGGCACGACTGAGCCAGGCTTCCTTTTGCCTCTTTGTCTTTCTTTTAAAGTTTGTGTTGTGTATCTGTGGCTTTGGGTGGTTGAGAAAACAGGAGCGTGTGTCAGAAAATCTGACTGTTGAGTCTCCGAGGGATACTGTGCTCTAAAGGCTTAGCAGGAAATCCACAGTGGTATACAAATTTATTTTAGCTGTTTCTAAAGGTTACTTGTGCTGATGTCACACGAGAAGGATTTCTAAGGCACTGTGAACAAACTCTTGTCGGCTGTCTTGTAGTGGGCTCTTCCAGAGCCCCAGAAAGAGCTGAGCTACAGGTAAACTTTCAGATGTCCGAACTGACTGATGGCCAGTGGTGGGTCTAACGATCACCATGACGTAGAGCCTGCCCAGCAGGTGGGGAGCAGCAGAACGACCACAGACCTTTCTGTCTTTGGAGCTTTAGTTGTGGCCGTGGGGGTTAAAATCCTCCGGCAGGCTTGGCACTCCAAGTGCCGCTAGTCTGCTTCTCACTGTCTCTCGTGGCTTAGTCATGCTGCTGCACAGTTATCAAAGTTATTTGTGTCTAAACAACCCTCTCTTCCGTTTGATCCTTAGCAGAGTTTGAAAATACAGCTGTGTAGAGCTGCAATTTTAATTGGAACACCTGATGTCACAAACAAGCAGTGCTTGTTCCTCCCAGAGAAACTGTTGTGTGCTTTCATAAGAAGAGTAAGATACCCTATGGTACCCTTAAGTTCCATTTAGAGGGCTTGTCTCCTTTCTCCCCATATATTCTGTGGTTTTCATTTGTTTATATGAGACAGATCTCAGTATCCTAAACTGGTCTTGAACTTATTTTGTACTCAAGGCTGGTTTTAAATTCCTGATCTTCATGTTGCTACCTACCAAGTGCTCGTAGCTGAGAGTGATTTTGAATTTACTTTATAGTCCATGCTGGCCTTAAACATATGATATTTCCTGCTTCCATCTCTCTCTGGTACTGGGATTACAGGTGCACATCACTACCCTGGCCTAGAAAGTGCTGTTAAAGAAGTCAGAATTAGCTGGGCATTGGTAGTGCACGCCTTTAATCCCAGCACTTGGGAGGCAGAGGCTGGCGAATCTCTATGAGTTTGAGGCCAGCCTGGTCTACAAGAGCTAAGAGCTAGTTCCAGGACAGGCTTCAAAGCTTCACTGAAACCCTGTCTCAAAAAACAAAAACAAAAAACAACAACAACAACAAAAAACAAAAAAAAACAAAAAAAAAGGAAGAAGGAGGAAGAAGGAAGGAAGGGAGGAGGAGGAGGAGGAGGGAGAAGAGGAGAAGGAGGAGGAGATTTGAGCAGGGCCCTGAGCTGATGACCCATAAATAGCAGGGACTACATGTAGTTGTCTGCCCTCAGCATAGATTATCACTTGAGTTAGAATTTATCAGTA